ATTCTCTGTCCCCATCATAGCCAGCTCATCTCTCCACTGCTCTGTTGGTTGTTTGTTGTTGTTGTTGTTACTTTATTTCTTTTTGCCGGGAGGGAGGTGGTCACAGAGAGGATCCTGCCTCTACCTCTCTGATGATGAAATTAGGGGATCGTACAACTACGCCCAGTTCAGTTCCGCCATTCGTAAGTGTTAGTAGTTAGCCATCGGCCTCTTCTCTTCTGGCTGCTATGCTGGTCTCATTCTGAGCGTAGCACGCCTTCTGTGTTGCTGCTGCACTTGGGGTTTCATTTTGTTACATTCACGTATTTGTTTCACATGGAATTTGTCCCAGTATGAAGTTTGAGATGTGACTACAACGTTTTACTTCTCCAGTTTCTCTGACTTCATTTCTTGAATAAAACATGTTCACACTCAGTTTGAAATGGTGTGTTACCTTAGGCTAAGTTCCCAGGTGTAAGTTCTGGGTTTATGTGTACTGCTCGCCCCCCAGCATTTCCTTGCTGCTGTGTTTGCTATTGACAGGTGGCTAAGTCCCCTCACGGCTGCCCCCATTCCAGCTATGCCCCAGCTACTCTCCCTGTCAAGAACTGTGACAAAGAGTTCATGGGTTTTTCTCTTTTTGGAGACAACAGGTCAACTTGCCCTGTTTCCTAGGTTCTGGCAGAAGGTACAGGAGACAGCGCTTTAATCAAGGCTGAGGAGACAGATGGCTCTGTGGGTAAAAGAGCCTACCTTGCAAATACGAAGACCTAAGTTCGAATCCCCAGGACCCACATAAAAGCTGGGTACTACGGTAGCACCCATTTGTAATTCCAGACTGCAGGGAGATGGGAGGTGGAAACAGGGATCTCTCCAGGAACTGGCGAACCAGCAAGCCTGCCATTCACAGCAGCAAAACAGCAAAGGGGAGCCTGTCTCAGACAAGGTAGCATGGAGGACTGACATCTGAAGTTGCCCTTTGACCTCTGCGTGTATATACACACACGCGGGGGAAGTAGGGGAAGGCACATGTGGGGGATGCTTTATTATTCATATCAGCAGCAGTGGCCAGAGTAGCAACCTGTGTGGTGGCCACATGAGTTTCTCATTTGTGGTGATCTTGTGAGTTCTGGCTGCCACAGCAGAGATGAAGAGGCTGTATGGGCACTGGTTGTGATCGCAAGGAACAGTCTTGAGCTGAGTGGAGTCAAATCTATTTCCACTAGATCTTTGATCTCTACCCGGGGGTGGGGTGGGGGAGCATTACCTGTATCCTGTGGGCAGTATGCAGATTTCTCTCCATGCCTGAGGACTACACTCTCTGTGGCCATGCATGCTCCTTGCAGTTTGGAGTAGGGGTGGGCTCTGCTCCGCCAAAGCAGCAACATAAAAAGTCCGTGGAGAACTGTCTGGATACTTATTTATTTTTCCATAGGAACGCTAGAATCAGTTTGTCTAAACACTGACAACAAAGGCTTGGTTCCTATCGAGACTCTTATTAAATTCTGAATCATCTGAGGGAAAACAGACAATTTCACGATGTTCGTTTTCATGTCCAAGAACATTATTCAAATGCTTCTTGTTGCTTGGAAGCATTTTAATACCTCCTCTGCTTAGATCTTGCACGTTGTTTCTTATGTTTATTCCTAGGTTTTTCATCTTTTTCACTGTGGCTATAAATGTTTTCTGTTCCCATTTTATCTTCTAACGGGCTGCCATTGAGTCTTGCTCTTTAAATGAATGCTTTTCCTCCGAGGTCCCTCCTCGACTTTCTTCCTTTCCTCCTCAAGATTTCCCAGGATGATCTTGTTCTCTCCCAAGCCTTCCTGAGCATCTGCCAGCTGATGCCTCCGGATCATCATCCCTACCCTGTGCTCTCCCAGGAGCTCCTCCTGCAGATGTCATACCTACCCCATGAGCACTCCGAGCTTTGAAATGAAACACTCAGTCTTGTTCCCAAACCAGCTACTTGGGCCATGCACCAGGCTCTGCCCACGACGTGCCAGGAAGCAGTGGGCAAGGCGGTATGTGAACAAAGACAGGTGGCCAACAGGCTTTGGTGTAACCCAGAGCACCAAAGTACTCAGAGTACTCTGAGACTGGGGTGAGAGGGGACATGTTGAATATGAAGGGAGCGTGGAGGGTCTGGATAGGCTTTCTCAGGACAAACAAGCCAAGTTAAAGTTGCGGGGAGGGGCATCCAGACCTGGGGAACAGAGTGAGCAGGGGAACAGAGAGGTGAGTGTGCTAGGCACAGTGGGTCCGCTGGCCACCAAGCATAAAACTCACAGGAATAGGCTTGCGCGTTGAGTGTTGCGTGTCACGCTTGGTATTTCAGATACACACAAGCGAGGCTAGATTTGAGTGCAAAAGAGCCTGTTGCTGGTGAACCCTGCTAAGACAGCCAATTGTGCAGGCCAAGGGTGCCACCAACCAAACCAAAATGCAAGCCTCCTGGGAGAAGCAAGTGCAGAAACATTAGAGAGGTCTAGCTGGAAGGACCAGACATAGAGCATACACCGAGCGGTACAAGGGCGGCTCCAGATCCAGAGCAGGTTGGTAAAAAGTGAAACCCAGTCAAGGCTGGGGCCAGTAGAACAAGCAGTAGCTGGAGGCAGGGCTAAGAAGCTCAGGGTGGGCTGAGCACCTGCTCTGGGCAAGGCCCCCTGCTCAGTTCTTTTGAGTGAATCTCCTCAAAGAATCCTCAGCTAGAAGCACTCCCAACAGGTGCTGTACTGCCCATCTAGAGGAGGGAGCTGAGGTGCAAAGAGCAGTTGCTTGCTTGAAGCCATAGTTAGAAAGCATGAGGGCTGGGATGGAGCCCAGGCCTAACCACTTTGTCACCCCATCTTATCCACTCAACTCTGGATGTTGTGAAAGGCAGTGACTCTCAGACTTCCCATGAGAGAAGGCAGAGTTGGATGTCATCTCTTAGGTGACAAGAGCCCTTCAGTGCATGGGGATGTGGCCAGGCTGATGGTGCTGTGGAGAGAAGCTATCCACCTGGCTTTCCATGTGCAGCTCCTGTGGAGGCTTTAGCCATTGACCTTTCTCTGTGAACCAGGGCTCCTCTGCAGAACAGAGGCCAAAGCAAGTCATATCAGAGGAGACACTCTCTGATGGATGCAAGTCAAACAGCACCTCGTTTTCCTGGACGCAAGGAATACTTCACAGTCTGCTCCCTCCCTACCTCCCACACAGGAGCTGAACAGGAGAGGTAACAGCCCTCACCTACATATAGGCAACATGGACTGTAGGTCCATCTACCCTTTGCAAGTAGTTGCTTTCTTGTTTGGGCTTAGTCATTTGTTTTGAGACAGGTCTGAAGGCATGGGACAGGCTGGTTTCAAACTCTTTTTCTGCCTTAGCCTCCCAGTTGCCAAGATTATAGATTTTTGCAGTTGTGTCCAGCTGCACTTCACAACTAGGTGGTCACCCTATGCCTCCTCAGCCTCCATCTCCTCTACTCCAGGGTGGAAGCCATGGTGCTGCCCTTCAGAGCCATCAGCAGGACCATATGACATCACATGAAGAAGGCACTTTGTGGATGACAGAGGGCTTTTCTGGCTGTCTGTTCCTCTAACACCCTGCAATGGGGAGCGTCTCCTTACTGTGGGCTTCAGAGCTGGGATTAGCAAGGAGAATCACACTTGGCTCTCTGCCCCTGCGGCCAACTTCAAAGGTCTAGGATTCTGCTGGCTAGTGGCCAATAACTCTCCTGGAAGCCCAGCCACTCCTAAGGCTAACAATGTAAATGCCCATGGGGAGGAGATATGGATAGCCAGAAGCGGAGGTGAGCAGCTGAAGGGCTAAAGGATCTTCAAGCCCAGTTCCAACCCATAATGGCCAGCTGGGAAAGTGCCCCACATTGCCAGGGCTTCTGATCTTCTAAGAGAAGGTAGATATCCAGCCAAGTTTTAAAATGCGCTTCCTCCTCCTCCCCCTGCTCCTCCTCCCCCCTGCTCCTCCTCCCCCCTGCTCCTCCTCCCC